TGTGTGTATATATATATATATATATATATATATATATATATATATATATATATATACATACACACGCGCACACACACATACATACACACACACACACACACACATGTGCATATACGGATCAGTGCATAAAGGAAGGAATTGCATTTTTAAAAAAACTTTTGTTGGCTGTCACCCATCTGCCCTCCATTTCATTTAAACTTTTGAGACACAGAAGGGAGGCTAGTGAGGATGGCGGGGGACCTGCTCTAAGGTCATGAGTTTTTTGCCCCTCTACTAAATCCCGTGATTTGGCACTATCTGAAAGCACCGTGAGTTCACACTGCCATATAAACCAGTACAGTGTGGATTGTACATAGCTGTGTGGAAGGGGCCTCACTTGCAATGATAAGCATAAAGGGATAAACAAATATATGAGGGTTGAATGAAAAGTAATGCCTCCACCTTCATTACTTGGGTTTGGATGGGATTATTTTAATAAATCAAATGCAGAAATAATCCTTAAAATGTGATCTTTAACTACCACTATTCACTTTTCCACAAAATCACCAGACAATTGGATACATTTTTGCCAACAATGAACAACTTTTCTGATACCGTCACAGAAGAAGTCGACACACTATTTCCGCAACCCATCGTGCATAGATCTTCTGATAGCCAAGCAAAGCAATAATGTGACCCATACGTTCTTGTGAAATGCCGATTATGCTTGAAATTTCTCTCTGAGTGATATGATGATCATCCTGAATCAATCTGTCAACCTTTTGCTTGTGAAACTTGGTGGTTACTGTCACATGACGTCCAACTCTTTGTCACGTAAGTCAGATGTTCCCACCTCAACATCTTTAAACTTACTCACCCAATAACGCACAGCACTCACATCAACACAATCACCACCAACAGCTTGCATTCTCTGATTAATCTCCTTTGGGGTGACACCTTCTGCTGTCAAGAATTCAATGACTGTACATTGCTTAAGTCACATTGACCAACCGTCTGTGCAGAGTTCTATACTTCACACTTTAACAACACAACCATTAAATGCTAAGGCTTCCCGTCAAAATGGAACTGTAGAGGAGAGTCTACTGAACAAGTCAATACCTGCCACATACCAGTACTACCATCTGTTGAGGAGTTACGAAGGTAGAGGCATTACTTTTCATTCAACCCTCGTATGACATATAAACCTTGAAAAATTCATAATACAGAAGGCCTGCCCTTTCTGACATATGTTTGTAATTGTTATCATGACCCTATGAATAAGAGGCCTCCAAGATACCTTGTTATCAACAACTCTGCGTAGTTCTCCGAACTCTCTGTCGGACTATCTAGATCTCTCTTGTGTGTTTGTGTGTCAAACAAGAACTTTCTCGAATTTTCAGCTGGAGTGTGCACAGTTCTTACGCACAACTAAGGGTTTTGTAAGTGTAAGCTCTGTTCTTCCACCTGCAGCATATATCCCACTTTCTGTAGTTCTTAATTAAAATCTTCTATGGAAATGCCTGTCTTCTTTTAAGTCCTTCTTTAAAAAAACATTTTGTCTGATGTCAACAGGAGAAAAATCCTCCTGTTGGAAAGTAAGTTAGTATCTCTTACATTCTGTAACACTATCAGTTTCAGGTGTTCATTATTTTTCCCACTTTTTTCCTTCCAGCTGAGAGAATTCTGTTTTAGGTTTGATGTTTCTTATCAGCCACATACTGGCAGTTCTTTCTCTGCTCTTCTTTCTTTTTTTTAAGTTCTAGAAGCTTTGTTAGTGTCATTAAAGACACAAAGTATGGAGAATTGCTAATACATCTTGTCATCACTCACTCTAATTTAAAAGTTTGGTGAGTATTTTTTCCCCCTCTGCCATTTAAATGTATTTCTGTTGCAGATTTGACGGTGTGTACGTGGATTAACTACACAAAAGTTAGGAAAAAAGGCAGTGCACTCCTACTTGGATGCTCTGCTTTCTTTTCACCTTCTCCATTATTTTATTGTTTCTGGCTTGTTTTGGATGCTCACTCCCACCTACAACATCGTGCCAGGGATGGAAAGAATATCCCTATTAGTGTATTGTCGAAGGCTTTCATGGC